TCAAAACTACTGTGTGGTTATCACATAGTAACTGTCTTGATGTTTTCTTATGGCTTTTTAAGACAGCTTACAGTACCCTACGAATTTCAATTGAACGCGCACGCGATAAACAACGTTCCTGACTCAAGGATTCGTCGGCACCGGATTTGCCCGAGGATTTGCAAGGTGACGTAGAGCTAGTATTGGGAATGTAGAAACTGATGCCGAGCAGAATTTCTGTCGGAAGAATTGCACATTTGTATGGCAAAAATGTGCTCGAATGTTAATCCACAGGACCATTGGAAGATTAAGAGACCTACAAGGTCAGTGACACCTGCCTTGTTCTTAACAAGTCTAACCAGTTGTAGGTGTAATTAGTGCGAAAAATTTGCCACATTGACGCAATAGATGGACTCGCGATCCTACGTTGTTACCTGGCCTGGAGCAAGCTCGAAATGACAGACAAAAAAGAAACAATATACCTACAAACATCTTCCTATATCTCGAACATTACACATCATGTTTTGATTATGGGCTTACGTTCTTCATGACAATTATCAGCTTTACACAGTTTTTCCTATACTATTGATCCTCTTTCTTAAATGGCGAAATTGAGTCACATGATCTAAAAGATTATTCAACGTCACCCCACCCGGAAACTGAAGTGTTGTTATTGGTTATCTGAAGGGACGGATTGCACTGTTTTAATCACATACCTAACAAACTTTTTGAGTCATTTGGGGTTAAAAAGAACCTTAAAACTATTTATGACGAACAAAAAAAGGCTAATGATGTTTTCTGGCTAGACAGCATACTACACTGCGTTTTTTTAGTATATAAATTCCTTTCGTAGGTAGCCCGATGGTTCCGAGCGTATAGCAATGGACGGTACACCAACTCGAGGTGTCATTTTAAAAAAAAAAAAAACTGGGCCAAAAAAACGGCCATAAAGCACAAAGTTGCGATAACATAAGTCAACAGAGTCTACCTTATTAATGCTATATTTAGGTGAAATCTCAAATGTGTAATCCTTGTAAAAAAAAAAAAAGGTACCTAAACACTAAGTGATTTTTTGCTGGAGTCATATTGAAGTTGCTGCTACCCAGATGACTGTCACTTTAGCACGAACTATTTTAAACTGTGAATAGACTTAGTGTGCGCTTTCCAATATGTACAGTTTACCTGCAAGAGAACTGCACAGCTCATGCTAATACCAGGTCTCAATACACTATTTTTTATACTTTTGTATACGAATACATCCGCGTTTTTTTCTCTTTCGATATTACCTATCACAGAAGCTGCAATAGCGAACCAATCATAAACTTAGGCAAAAGTCTGACGGCCTAAAATCTTAAATGAAAATACCGTTAAAATCGAACAGACATGTTGACGATAGGCTATTTATGGCGGATTGCAGAGTTTTTTTTTTGTTCGGGTTAGCTTGCTAGGATATGGTCAAAGGTTGCAGTAGTCTATAATCCTTCAAAGTATCCTAAAAAGCTGCATTATATGCCTTCCGACCTACATTCTTTGCAAGCCTCCAAAGCCTGAACTAACATATACGCTCAGCCCATTGTTTTGGTACGCGTGTGACGGGTAGATCTTTATCAGGATTTAAAAGAGCGAATTAGATGGATGTATGGATAACTTCCTGATACGTTGGTCGAGAGTCGTCAACACAATCAGCAAAGTTCCGGAAAGGAAATTCTGCAATCACAGATTGTTTAGTCTGTTCCTAAGCAGCAATCCTAACAAGCTGATAATTCCAATTTACTTCTGTGCCTGTTTTAACAACTGTTTGCTAAATTGCTAGCCCTTTGTTAACTTCAAAAGTAATAACAAAAAGGGTTAAATGAAGTGTGGCCGTTTTGGAAGTAGGTACTGTAGCGCCGCGGCTATACCCGCGTGCTACGGGCGGGCTGGTAGCCCTCTAGCGGACTCTTTCTCCTTCTACAAAACGTACTAATGATGGACCTTTACCATTAGTGCAATAATACTTATCAGCGATGGGAAGGGCTCAATCTGGCTTCGTTCTTTGGCAGTACAACGGTTTCGTCCTTGGCGGTAGAACTTCTAATGGTATTTCTCTACGGATTCCGAAATGCTGTATCTTCTGTGAAGGATGTTGCAAGATGATTAACGAACTAAATGCGACGACTAGAAACGCAAATTTGAGTGGCTGGAGAATGCATACACGAAAGCAGTAATTGTATCAAGACCAACGCCTTAATGAATGGCAATGAGCCTAATGCCGACGTAGATGTCATCAGGCTTGCCGTTATGATTCATGTAATATTCATTGATACGATCCAGCGTATCCTCCGGAGAGTAGATTGACTCTACGAGGTAGAAATGTTGTTCCAACGAATAACCTGAACCGTCTACTTAGTTGCCGAACTCGATCATGATGAAAGCAGAAACGTGCCAGCGGTACAGGTCTTTTAGAAAGTCACTGCCGCGCTGTTGTATACACGGACGACGGTGTGACGGACACGATGGACCGACAGGAAAAAAAAGATAAAACTGCCATTATGCGCCTTACGGTTGAAGGAAACGGCTCTTATGTAGGCTATGTATAACAAGATAAGCCGATCAACAATCCGGCTCAGCGGAGAATGCAGCCAAAGAGCTTCTCAAACTTCTGCTAAAACTAACGCAGGTTAAGGCCCAGTATCCCGAGGCGCTAATTCGGGAGATCGGCACCGAGCCATACCTGGCACTCCTACCGGAACTGGCCCATTGTCCTCAATACGAAATCAAAGACCTAAATAACATTGTCACGATAGATTAATTCTATGACGCGCTGGAGTTATTATTAAAAGATGAGGTCAAAAAGATCAAAATAGAAGCTATGGTCCAAAGTTTAGGGATCGAAGCCTTAGCGCAGTAGGTCATTAAAAGCTGCTTTGGCCATTTTTCGACTAACCGAAATGGCTAAACTCCTGTGCTGCTTTACAGCCTAAAAATGGATCATAGAGCACAAGCTTGTCCTGAAAATAGATATGACGCAAACAGATACTTGACGCCAATATACAGGGTATGAAAATGTATGATAAAGAAGAAGTGCTTCACAGGACTGGCTACTACATCGCCAACATCACTGCCTGTCTAAAGTAACAGAAATATATCATAGACAACAAATTGAATGCAAGTCGCGTTTTTGAGATACGGTGAGGGTAACAGGCACAAAATAGCCGACTGGTTGTTAAGAAGATCTGCTCTAATGTTACAGGCCACTGAGCCATCAAGTTGCCACTGAGAAAATAAAGATAGGTAATGGCTTCGATGTTATTACAACGACTATGTAATTGTGTAACGTCAAGGGTTTTCTATAAATTACTTCACTGTATTTTCCTAAATAAATGTACAAGCTGTAATTTGGTCCACCGGAAACTAAACAAAACGTTAACTCACAACGGACTCCGAATCCCGCTTGCATTCTATTAAGAGTCTTCGCTGTGTCCTATTAAGAATCTGGCACTCTTGCTATATCAAGGTGCACGTCTCAGAGACTATCACTTGAATCGTGCTACGTGCATTCTTCTAGTCGTGCCACACCCGTACAGTCAACCGGTGCATAAACGGGTTTCAAAGAGTGAATCTATGTTTCCAAATCGAACGTTTGTCTATAGTGCACAATTGGAAGTTGCGTATATACTCTAACTGTCATGAAAGTATTTTTCTTTAAAGGCGTACTATATATATTTAGTATATGGCAATTTTGGTGTAACTGCTATTAATTTGAATCATATCTCGTCCTTACAGGGCAGGAGCGTTACATAGAAGCGGCAAAGACTTTTAGCGCTCTCAAACAGTTATTGCCAACGTTTTACAGTGGCGATGATTTCCGGTTGCGGTTTGTCGTTTGGGGTTTCCTGTAGCGAAATAGTGCAATTACCCCTAACATCCTCGAGTCATCTTTATTTGCGACACCTGTTCTGTTCGTTTAAACCGAAACTTTTTCATCGGGGGTTAAGGCTGCGTCCGTTTCGGTATACGCGCACGCGCCTGAACATTGTCTCCAGCCATTTAGAGAATCCCCTTCACGTTCAGACGTATCATTACAAATTTTTGCCCTGCAGTTTAGTAGACAACTTTCATCTTCAGGTTAGTAAATTTTTCGGCCGCCGACGCGCTGTTAATTGCAGTGACGACGGACCGATACCGGCACAAATGCTACATGCTCGCCAAGCACCTTGCTTTTATATGGCGACAGCGATCGAAACAAGTGAAATTATATATATATAGCTATAACAATACATACGTATATATGCACAGAGACAGCAATCAGGTCAGGAATAACCTGAAAGTGTCGCCAAGAAAAACCAAAAAATTGCGCCAAAAAAATGCATTTGCATACATTATTTTTAGTGCAACTTCAATACTTTACAGGTTCCCTTGGCTTCCTCTATGACGGTTACTTATTTCGCTTGGTCTTTGGCCATCCTTGCGCACTTTGAGAATAAGCTCGATTAGATAGCAGTCTCTCCGTGTATATACACACACAACAGACGCTATTGGAGCAGATGAACAATAAAAGAAACATTAACTAAACAGTAATATACCCGAATTACCCTAACATTTGCTACTGGTTTATATGTACAAAGGTGTTCCGTTTTACTGGCCGAGGCATCGACTTCAAAATATCTATACCATCATCTTTCCCTTGACCCGTTTCTTTAGGTATATGCTCACGCTTCGAATGATATAGCCAGGTATCTTTCAATAATTGAGTTCATCGCTTCAAACGCATTTACAGGGTAATTAAAAACAGTGAGTCGGCGCAACTGAGTGATTGTTTCATGACTTCGTAGCCAGTTCCCTTTTCCACGGTGACAGAACATCGACGACCTTTCATGGTGCTACAGTTGCTACTAGTACTATAGCTGCGCTTTAAGCTCTGTGGGATTCTTTTATGTGTCGGCCTTGATATGTTTATGATAAGATTTACAATACTGTCGAAGTAAAATAAGACAATAAATGAAATATGGGGTGAAAAGCTTTACTCAGCCTGCTTTTACCTGAACAGATCGACGATTACTTTGCCCCTGTTGGTAGAACAAGCGGACACCTTGGCCTTTTACACGCTCGTTCTTCTGTGTGCAGGTGCAAATGTTAGCGCACGACAGCATTAGGAGCAAGGTTTCTCGCTGAACGAACACGAGTGCTATCTGTTAAATAAAAAGAGGAAGAAAAATGCGACCCGACCTATAGACCGTTTTCAGATACCCGCCACCTGCGCATTACACAACAACGTAAAAGGCATGAATCTACTACATGGAGCAGCCTAGTACGGAAGTACTATTAGTGAAAGAATATGAGAAACGTTGAAATTATACGGTACTATTTAACAAAATTCGGTAAATATTTGCATCATATTTTTGGCTATCTTCCACTGTAAACTAGATGGTTTTCGTCAAAGAATAATGAATTTAGACACGAATAGAAACAGTGATAAAGTTCCACGCTCAACAATACAGCTTCTTTTCCTTAAAGGCAAAAGGGCAAATAGAATGCTTCGAAAATTTGATGAAAGCATTGAGCGTGAAGATATTCAGCAAAAAAGAACAATGTCTCGTTACTGGTCCAGAAAAGGAGACGAAATTCTGAGACCTCTAACAGAAGAATGAATTTCTGTGATGAGCTGGGCTTTTGATTAAAATCAAACAGGATAATCCGCCGTTTTCTGACTAAATAGGAAAACCTCGAAACGCGACAACATGACATGACAAAACAATGGACATGGAAAACAAAAGCGAGACATGTGTTCCTGATGAAGTAAGACGATGAAAAAGCGAATGAAGTATTCTGCATGAAATTTACACACCTATTGCTGCACCTAAAAGCTGCCGGTGGCACATTGTCGCCGTAGATAACATGTAGATTAATCTGTGCCATCTCGTAACTATGTGCTAGACGAAAACGGTGTCAAGTAGTAGGGCGCGACTTCGGTAGTAGTGCCAAATAAATTTGGCTGGAATGAACTGGTCCCCATACATTATAATGAGAAGTGGGGCATTTGTAGTTGCCTAAAAAGAAGATATTTAATGCTGCCCGAATTCCTAAAGAGCTTCATGGATGTGTGGCATGACTATCAATACCACACAATGAGGCTACTCAAGGGCAATGCACAAGCAAATCAAGGACAGAATACAGTGACGACGTCGCCCGAAATATATTCTCTAGATTTATATAGTTCGTCAACCGAGACCTACGGTGAACTGAACATCATCGTATGCCCCACCGCCGGTTCCCTTGAACGAGCCAAGTAACGCAAATCACAAATACATGATCGTTACATAACGTGTGCACAATAATAGTTCTTTATCTGGCACGCACAAAAAATACATTATCTTACGTGACTTATTCAGACTGGTTGATTTAATGATCAGCTTCCAGCGACCAGACAGCTCCAGTAGACAATAATTTAGGGGGTTTCTCTACTAACTAACGAAATTGTTGCTAAAAATCGCGTAGGATAGCCACACGCAAATATAGGATGGTTTCCCCTCACCCTTTCTCTATTATTTAGCTATCATTTTTATTACTGTTATTAATCTGTTTAGCAATAATCAATAATAATAATAATATAGAATTAACTATTAGTAATCGTCTGTTGAAATTACAGTTTTTAAACATCTGCATCACATTGAAATGAGATAAGAATTCGTTCTGCGGCTCTTCAAAAACTTGTCCGTAGCTTTACGATGCCAACCATAAACATAACTTAAACGACAGTAAACTTGAAAGCAACAGCTGAGGTAAGTTCGATAACGCGAGTTCTTGGAGCTTAGAGTTCGAGGCCCTAAAGTATTCTATTCATATAAATGCGGCTAAATTATTAATTTGCTTATTAGACTGAAACCACGGGCACCATAATTTGTCTGAATCGACTTGAAAATTAAAGCCTGAACAAAGCCCGATTGGTGACTGAATTCTAGATCTTATAGACGCTCAGTTTCAGGTTGAAGCATTTTTACCGGGTCTGTTTTTAACGTTAACTGAAAAAATATTAGTCACAAGTACTAGCCCATTATTTCTGTCTGCATATTGACGTTGTCGAATTGAAAGCAAGCCGTTCGGAACTAGGGATCATCTCCAAAGGGATAGGCTACATTATATATGTACTTGGAAGTAATCCGTCTCTACTGGCTCTAGGTACAATAGGCAAGCGGACGTACTTGAGAGACATTGACTGAACTGCATTTTTAGTCACTCGCTGATTCTTGACATTACGGCAGCCCTGCGCTCCGGGAGCATTAAAGCTATAACCCTGTATTTTCTAAGCCTAGTTAAGCGACTGAAGAAGCCTCAATTAGTCAATATGCCCACTGGTGGGTACACACCAGCTCTAACCACGCGTCTAGAATTATGATATTACGTCTTTTCTGGTGTCGCCGACTTACTGCCTCAGTATTGATCCGTTAAAATAGATTTAGGCAAATGAGGATTACGTTATGCAGTTAGCAATGGGTTTTCTAATAATAATTTTAGTCCCATTATACAACGTCTTATTTAAAACCCAATGATTAGCTGTTTTTGCATCTATTTGTGCCCATGGCCCACAATTAGAACGATTGTTATAGGCAAATGTTTTTTTGGGTGTTCGATAGCGCTTACCTTCAAAAAAGCCCATGGCCTAGGTAAGAGTTATCAGATATTAATTAGCAAGTATGCATGATAAACCATGCACGCATGAGTACATCGTAGACGTTATTCCTGACAAATTGTAGAAAATTAAATCTTTGTTACAAACAAAGAGTGTCAGTGACAACAAAATGGGAACTATTATCGTTTTGCTCATCGATGAGATAAGTCAGCCTTATCGAACATTACATTTATTAAGTAATGCTATACAAAACTGACATTGAAGAATCTATATAGTTAAATAAACGTAGATATTATATATTGGCTGAAGATCTCGAAAACGTCTAGACTTGGCTTGACAGTGATTACTAGTATAAAGCCGAAAGACCTGAGAGAAGTCAGGTTTATACTAATGGTACCCACAGCCCATGGACTTTGACGTTACCGAATTTTATTGTCACACATGTCAGGCAGTAGAAGAATCAAAACATTAAATATCGGGACAATGGTCAGTCGGCGCTGATACTTCTTAGTATTCTACTGTTTTACACCGGCAGAACGCTTTTAATTATATTTATTCTAGAAAGCTATCATGCTACAATAAGCACCTATAATTTCAGAATTTTTTAGAAGTTCTGAGACATAAGGTACGAAGGAAAACAACTACAAGTAAACCCATTACGTATTGGGTAAAAGAAACCTAACAGCTATTAAGATGGCTCCACGCTTCCGTACTGCGCTCGTTGACGTGTACGCGCCCTCCTGCTGGTTGGCCTAGAGAAATTAGTTGGCTAGATCTTTAGGCACGTGTGTCATTTCAGGTAGACATCGGTTTGGATCTTACCGCATGATACTGCGTGAGAAAGGCGATACAAGCATTGTAGTTCGTGATGTTATTGAGCCATGCTCCGCCAGGACCGCAAGTGCGGAACGCGTATAGCTCTGAAACAAACAAAAAAGGACACCTCTTATAACTGCCACTGGCCTTAGGCTCATACAAGCACCTCCCTCTTCTAAATACTTAAAAAGCTTAATAGTATTGCTTTCAGGCGTTGCAGACGCATGCTATCGATAGCCGACGAATAAGTTAACAGGCATCTTTATTCGAATAGTATCAATTAGCGCTTTAGCCATGATGGCACGAATACCCGTGTCACATTGTAACCCGCCATTTTTAATAAGGCGATAAACGAATGTTGCCTGAGCCTATTCAGACAGCTTCCTTGTTCACTCGAAGCTATATGTGCGTTCACATAGCATTTAAGTAGGTGCTAGGAGTAATTCTATAAATGATAAATGTAACATATGTGTATATATCAAAGGATGCCCAAAAAAGGTTTAGAGCATATTCAACCTCTTACACAAAACCATTTTATCTTATGTTCTTTAAGTGAGTACTGTTTTCAATTGGAAGTGCGTTAAAGCTTCTTACACACAAATCAAGGCTGTTTATCTTGACGATTATACAGATATGAACAAAATTGACTACAGCCTTCTTTGAGTCATTTCTGTCATAAGATGCTGGTTTGTGGGCACTTCGCGCTTACCATAGTACTGTCAGAGCCGGAAGTCTGTGGCATTCCGGGCCTACTCCAAGGGTCGGCTAAGTTCCTCATCGAGGAACGTATCGCTTAGGTACGACGATTAGGAATTATCTATATAAGCTAGGATATGGGTTTCTTCTTCTTTTTTTTTTTTACTAAAACTACTTAAGCGATTGATATACGTAACCTAATCAACTACCGTCTTTCATGCTAATTACGATAGAAAACGCAGGTCACCTTTTCGTTATCGCGTATACCTGTCTGCTCACAAATTTCAAATTTTGCAATCATCTAGCGCGTACTTGACCTGATTAAGGTCAACGGGGCGCGCTAAGTAGAGTTGAAATTTTTCTTTTGCGGGCGCTAATTCCCATTCGGTCCTTTATGTGGTCCTCTCCACATCACGAGTATGTGTTCACAACAAAAATTATAGTACTCTCTTTAGGTCCACGACACAACGAGGCGTATTGCTATTCCAAAGAAAAAGGTTTTGAGAGGACTCAAAGATCCGGTCCGACGCGAATTTTCTATGATATGAATTACATTTTAAATATAGACCGTAACATGTATGTGTACATCTCTACTAATATTTTTAGAACGCATCGCGCAGTATAGATATGCTGGTGGCGTTAGAATTGTCCAGACAAAGCAGATCATATTTTCATAAATAATCATCAGTGAACTTAATTCAAGTTAATCAGTGAATTAAATTCAAGCATTTTATTTGTACAATGATAGAAACGCAGAACCACTCTCTATATCATAAGTATATTAACTTCTCAACTGGAACAGAATAGATTATCGTTTTCCTGCCCTGAAATCATACTCCGGGTGGCTACTGCGCATCCCGCTGGGTGCGTTGCTACGGTGACCACTACTAACAACCATGCGGTTCAAATACCTGCGTATAATCACCAAATCTTAACAACTGAAGAAAAAATTAGAAATCAACGAAGACAAATTGTTGTTATTAAAGTTGCCATGTGTTTCGTAAATCCCTTGAAGAAGCTCCAGCTTTGGTTAGCAAAGCCCCCGCTCCGGCTGAACCCCAAATGGGAGCAACCCTTTAATGCGATACCTGAAGATAGGTGATTCTGGGGCCTTCTTTACATGGAATTGCTAGCTGATAGTGCTAAATACATGAAAAAATCATCCAAGGTTGTCATGTGGAACACTTCTTGCGGTAATTCTTGCGGAATGCACTCTGCATTTCCGATTGGCAAGAAAAGATAATTAAGAGGCAGCTTGAATTTTTAAAGCGAGCTTATGATTTGACATTTATTTAGTTTAACAAACTTTCAGTAACATACAAAAAAACGCTTAGCTGTTCCCTTCGAAGTCTTATCAAAACAAAAAGTCCGGTAAGTCGAATTGCTCCGTTTTTTTTTTTATCAGTGTACATCTTAACAATACTGTAAATCTGTTAATATAAATTTTTTAAAATTAATGAGTCATTGCTACAGGAAATAAAAAATATAATCATAGAGTCCCTCCACATTTCCTCACACATAAATTTCACATAAGTTGCATTAATGTAAATTAAGATATGCATACGACGATATGTTAATGACACATCACGGTTAGGATGGGATAACATTGTTGTGCAATAATGGTTTTGTCATTTCGTAATGCCGCGATAAGCCGAATAAACAGAACACTGGTCATTTAAAGTGCCATGGCTGATATGTATTAACACCGAAAAAACAAATTGGGTATATACATTTATATATGTTTTGTAGTATATATACATACAAAACGGGGTAAATCTTTAGTACCCTGAATTTGATAATTTAGTAACCGATCTCCTGTCACATTAGAAAATAAAATACAGGGCCCCTTTAGGTATCAAGTTTAATATCATGCCTCACCATATATATATAAATGAATTATTTTTGTAAATCTAGGGCATATTGTAGGGCTCAACAAAGCCAGTTTTGCTTGGTCACCAGCCGTTACAACTTTATAGCAGCTTTGTGGGTTGGAGAATATGCTTACCATCGGACGGAGAAGCGGTCTCGGATTCTATTGCAGGGGACCGGCAAAATGGATTGAGATAATTGGGTCCTGGATTGCTAAACAACAATAGTCAAACGACCAAGTTGCATAGAAGCCACAAAAATTGTTGAGCAGGCTTACAAATCCCATGCCAGTTAAAGAGCTCGATTCGTCTATGCAGTTTTGTAATATCCGAGAACTTCTGACCCGAAAACCCAGAGAAAACGTTCGATATGCTTGGAAGAACCGAATAAATAATTCTCGACGATGAGCGACTGAAGCTCAATATGAAACATTTTTAGCGCAAATACAACAGACGAGGTCTGTCGCTTTTGCTTATTTCATCATAGCAGTACGGGTAGAATCGTATGCGAGGTTAGCCCTCCCGGTCCGCGACTACATACCGAGAAGACCAGATATATTGGAAAGGCTTGACATCCAGCCCAGGAATGTCCGGCGAGTATCAAAAATATGATATCAGCAACATAGTGTTCGCAGCTACAGTTTCCAGATATTAGGTCAATGTTCTAACCCCTGTTGCGTGCGACTGAGGCAAACGAACTATAGCTTGATGCGGATTACAGTTTCGTTTGGACAAGATGACGGTTTTTATGTCGGTCGCGTAACATTTTTGTCACTCCTAACATGTTGTGCCTGAAAGAGCCTGAACGTGATCCACATTCTTTCTCTCATTAGGCATTTTTTCAATCTACTTAAGGCAGAGTAGGCCGATAAAAGTGCCCCCTTAAAGTGAACTATGGTCCTATTCGTGCGTATGGGCGCATCTCATTAGCATCTATACAGGAAGTCTTAGCTTCCCTGAATCACCTGTCAGTTTCCTTTCACATCTCATTGAAATCTCCATTCTGACCATTCTGATCCATTGACAAAGGATCTGCCTCGGCAACGAACATGTCTAAAGGTTTGTATGGGAGCAATACGTGTTTTAGAAAGCATCAGACAGTAAGACGCATGAAAGTAAAAGCGACGAACCTGAATGAGGCTTACTAATGTAATAGTGTTATTATCAGACAATGTTTGCCTTCGAAGTGTTCCGTTGTTCCCAGTACGTACAGACACTAAACTGGAACTTGCAAAAAAGTGATTAACTGTTTTCTGAAGTCGTCTGTACTACTTCCAGGCTTGACGGATCAGGTAAGGTGCGTCTAACGAAGGTTATCTCCACTCGCTTTGTTTTGATCGACCAAGCTTGGGTCAACGTACTTCTTGTATTGGATTAAACCTATAATGTAATAGACGTCTATGTGAGTTATTATGAGAGAAATACCAAGCAGCACTAGTTTTGTTGTACACACATCTATGTAGACACATGAAACCAGTGTAATAGAACATATTCGCTTTGTTAGAATCTCTATCGATCCCTACTTGACGCCAATGCAGAGGTTGCCGATTCCCTTGACATGATGTTTGCACCTTCTGCCTACGTATTTCGCCTATGTAATTTAGTCGCCGCTCCGACTCCGCTGTTTACTCATGCCCGACACGATCGGGAACTATTTGGATGAACCCAGTCGAAAAATTCTTGAGAATTTATAAGATGGACAGTTGTGCGTTGACCGCGAAAGAGTGTCCTTTGTATACCTAAGATGCGCGAATATTGTTGTTAAGACGATCCAAGATATGCCTACTTGACTTCGGGAAGGCAGGTCATGTTTATACAGTGATATTTATAGCTACATATATTTATAGCATTTACGAATTGTACATGCTCACGAACTTCGAAAAAGGGTCATCATCACACGATACGCAATAACAGAGTACATCATTATTAGTGATGTGCATCACACTAGTATGCATTATTATGCTGCGTCTATTAAAGTGGCAAAGTGACGTTGTCTGGTTTTGGCAGTATAATTTTTTTTTCGATATAAATATTAGAACATTTGGTAATGACTTCATATGGCTATAAGCAATATGTCGAATGTTATTCAACTAGAGCATTGCCTTCAGCTTTTGCAGCCATCAGGATGTTTGACACGCGCATTTTGTCCTCGAAATTTTAATTCATTCGTACACGCTCCTGTCACGTTGATCTTCCATCTAGCGTGAACTCCTAAATGTCTTGCTTTAGGAGTAGTCACATGTACATATTGGTTGGCTTCAATGTCGTGCCTGCACAATTTCGAATTTTTGTCGCAAATGCTCTTTTGATGAACGCCAAATGTGTGCTAAGATTTTCTTCCGTCTAAGGAAAACGTGACTTGAGTATTGCGGAGCGTGTTTTTAATCGCTTTTTTTTTCTATCCGTGTCTGAAATCCATTCAGACCGCTCGGCTTTCATTGAGTATTACATTATGAAGTCGTGACTTACGCCTATCGTGGAGTATATCTGTGCTATAGAACCTTCCTGGAGTAGACCGTAATCGGCACAACATACTTTCAAGTGTTCTTATTTATTTCAAGAAATTATTTGTTTTTATCGAGATATGATTTGAGAACTCGTAATGCTGCTTTAAAAACTGTCGTTGCTTGTAAGTTGTTGCAACAGTCGTTTTCTTCGCAGTGCCTAAAACACAACTTTTGAAATTAACATTATCCTAAAGTTTTTTGAACTTGTGAAAAAATCGGAATGGTTACCTCGCTTGAATGTTATTAATTTCTATATCAGATGTTGATGTTTCTACTACAAGGCGCTTGGCAATTTTGTTAATAATGTTCGGAAAATGATCAGTTTTTGAGCTGTGGTGTGAGAAATATTCGGGCTTATTCGCTGAGTACGTTTAGTATGCTGGGTTATCTCAGTAGTGAATTTAACCAGGTATACGACTGGTCTACACAAAAATGTTATTGACGTCAGGTTATCCTTAAGAGTTTTTTGCTGTTGTTCAAGTTCGTAATAAGTTCTTTTATTCTTTTCAGATTTGAAACAGTTAACTCCCATCTTTTCAGTTGCTGCCTAGTAAACAGGTATTAAATCTCGAAGTATGATTTACCCTCGTTGCTCAGTCAAGTTTTTATTAGTTTCTGAGAAGTAGTCGTCAACCACTTTGGAACCATTCTACTTGCAATTGACCTGCGTTATTTCTTAGTGTTCTGCCTTACCAAAGATTTCCAGAGCTTCATTTCCATGTTGCCTATGTCTCTGACGTGTATTAGAGTTAGTCTTCAAGTCAGAGCTCTTTAGAAAATTTTCATCGCAGCTAATTCGAAATCATTACAACCATCTGAACGTTAGAACCTTAAAAATGAGAGCAGACGGGTACGCTTTTTGTAATTGTAACACTGCGTTAATTATGTAAGAGTGGCGCTGTAATGCACCTATCCGTTATGGCCGTAAAAATAACTAACTGCTAAGAAATAGAAACGAGAGCTCATTTCGCGAAAATTTGTTTAATGCAAAAAAGGTCTGCTAACTGGGACCGGCCTTAAAAAAGTTTTTACAGAAAAGAGTTGCAGAAAGCCGACAAATATTTTAATTATTTTATCAGGATATAACCCAGCCAAAGGCTATGATAAGAATAATCATTATTATGCTGGTTCCGCCGAACTTACGAATAGTCTGCGGCATCGATACTTAAATAGGCACAGAATTAGAATTTTACAAAGAAGACTCATTCGTTTTGCAATAAACAGTAATTATATTATACCAGAGCAAACTAGCAAACGACGCCAACGAGTTAGCCGGAACGATAAATTATTTTTTTAAATATAATAGCGATTTAACAGTATGTCAGAAAATGACCCTTGTCAACTGAAAAAATAATCTTCTTTCCGACCGTTAGTCCATCTGTAAGCGAAGATCATTCACAATCAAAATTACATAACAAAGTGACTTTATTTATGCTTTCTGCCTTTTTCTTTGCTGTTATATAATGCACACATATTTTTAGTTTAATAACCAAAGGACAGAATAATGCATTGGTTCTTCAAACTTCAACAATAAATACTTGTTTATTTCTGCGCATAAAATGTATGCACTTGCGTTCAGATAGGTGGTATATAAGACTTAAGCGTACAAATAGTGCTGAAAACTGTGCCCCTGCGAGTTGCTGCAGGACAAGAGAGACACACTGAACGTGGTGTATAAAATGTAAATTTAGTACGTCTACTGTTTGGTATGGAAGACACACGGTTTGCCTAGGACAGAAAGGCCAAATCACTGTTCACAAATAGTCATTGTGCTGTGACACAGTGCTTACCGGCGAGTCCAGAACGGTCATGCTGGCGAAGACGGTGTTGCGCAGTGTCGTGTTGAGCCTCGTAGCCTACAGTATCCGCCGGATGTGATATATCCGGCGGTATCGAATCATCGATAGCCCTCAATAGAAGATGACAGGATTTAGCTACGATTGAGTCTGGGGGCGCTGGGGGCCAGCACGATATTCCGTCCCAGATTGAACTGCACCAAACTTTCACAGCACCCCCGCTCTCCGAAGCTGTTCTTCGTTGGCCGCTGCTATTACCGACTAGAAGCGAAGCTCCATTATCTATCGCTGTTATGTCGACGGAAGCGCCATTGGCTGAAAAGGTTTCTGAAAAATAGGCGAAAACAGAGTGCAATTTGATCAGTACTATTTTAAATTTCCGGTATATATGCTGAGTGATTGAGTCAGGTGCAGTAAATACAAAGTCTGTCAGAATAAAGTGTGTTTCCTCATCTTACGACTTCATTACATCCACATTTCACTTTAGACTCGCTTTTTTGACGCTCGCAGCTCTGTTTTCAACTCGAGAGTTCGCCGTCAGTGCCGTCGCTTTCGCAATACATCCGGCGTCCTATTGTTCCGCAGAATTCTATACCATACAGCTGCAACATAGAAATGTGCTGCTAGTTCGCAAAAGAGCACACCAAATAATTACGAGGTGATCCTAGTACGTTTGCCTCAAAGGACCCGCTACCAGTAATTATAGACGTCTATTCACAAATCTATCGCACTGTCCTCTGCAATATTATTTGCACCGCTTCGCCTCTATTAGAAACGTCGTAATTTCTTTTGTGAAACATCTCTGCCTGCCAACTTTGGAGCAATGAAATAAACTAAGGGCAGACATTCCCTAAATGATCATTCCGATGGAACCATTCAATCAAAGCTGTCATTGCAGTTCGGAAAACCTTCCGTACAGTTCCTTTTGCCCCTTCACATATTTTCCTCTCTATCCAGATGTTTTGGCTCTGTTCTTTCTCCGAGCTAGTGGAAGTGCAAAGTCGTCTTTATATGGAGACTAGGGCCACTCTTTTAGCTTCTGTTTTGCGCTTCCAAAAAAGTTGTCGAACCGGAATATACTGAATTCCCTGCTTCGGACACGTAACGAAGCATTACTGCGTTTTCGCAGAACACGTCCTTCCTGCTTGGCAGCTTTTACATACCAATCCAGAAGTTGTACAGCACTTTATTGGTCGAGATACTGCCTAACCTGATGGCGATAGCTACATAAAGGCATGAAGCTCTTCATAAAATCATCACGACTTTATATGGACGATATGCATCGCCCGCCATATTCGCAATCTGTATTCTTCACGACAGTATAGGGGAAAAAAATTGTTTATCATATAAATTCTCTCCCAATCGCATAGAAGTTTTTTAATGCGGACGCTTTTGTAGCCAAAAAAGAAACACTGTGTTGTGAGCTAACCTCTTGGGATCTTCACTGCTGAAAAGGACGAAACTCGAAAATACTTCGATACTATTTATATCACCTATACTCTAGGTCTACTTCTCAAGTCTCGTTCAGAAAATATAGCAGTTGGACCATACAGGATGTTTGTGTACTTCTAGGAGCAACTAACTACAAACTGTTCCAGGTACGTAAAAACCAGATCGTATTATCAGCCGTTTTTCTGATTTGTGCAATACACTACAAAGTGCAATACAAAATTTGTAATAAACAGAGATATTCTCTCAGTGCGGTAACTGTTTTTTGCTAAGCTCAAAAAGCATGTGAATTTCTATACGTTTCATCTCCAGCAAAAACTAATTTTATATGCTACAAAAAACTAATTGGCTTTCCGCACAGACGAGGCAATAGTGAAATATTTTGTAAGATCTTTATTAAAGCAGTTTCTTTCACGGGTATTCGCTTCAATGAACTTGATAAAAGTATTTGTTTTCTGTGTGCTCTAGGATTATTATTTCATTTTTTTTTTTTAAATTATGACGTTCAGTATAAATGTGCTTCGACATAATTCGAAATAAATCCGCGTTGCATTCCGTTTTCATTCGTGCACTACATGAATCATGTATTAAATATCGTAGACTTTAGCTGCAGACGTCACTAACAGATGATCTATAGAGTATCGTGCAGAATTCAACGTTGTTTTGTTAAACCGTCACAGCAGACCATCTTACAAATAGGAAAATATTAAATCTACACTTGAGCTTCGAGTTCGGAGATCTAGTTCATGTACGAAACGCTTTCTACGGTCCTGAAATAACACGCCTTTTAAGCGGGAATATTAAGTTTTCCCTTTGAGACTCCCACACAGTGTTTTGCGGTAAGGGACTGTAGCACTAGCAAACACAAATACTTGCTCGATAGCCGAGTCAATATTAGGCTATACCATGTTTGGTGGAACCAGATATTGGTAACGCATAATGCTTTGAAAGCAGTTCAAGATAATACGTATATAACATAGTGTCATATAACAAGGATGCTAAAATAGTAAACGTGAACAGCGAGAAGTGCAACAGTCTGAAAAATGTCTGGAGACATCTGTTATATGTTTTGGCTAGAATCTAAACCCTACTTTGAACGAAGTTAATCAAAAGACAACGACCGCTGCAATTAAACACTGTATTTCAAGCAAATCAAATAAAAAAAATGACAAACTTACCGCGCCTTTATTACATCCAATAGACATGTTCGAATATTGTTACTCGAACGCCCATACGTTTGTTCTTTTTTCTATGAACTTGCGTCGTGTCATGATAGGGGTCGGCAGATTTGTCTGGGACCCGCGTTCCGTTTTTATCAACTTAGACCTCTCTTGGTTCCCTGACCTATGGCTTCTTCCGCTTACAAATGTACTATATATCTTGAACTTCAAAAATCTTTCTGTCAGTTCTACGCGAATACGGATATGGATTTAAGAGTGCTTGTCCGATTGAATAAAATCTCAACGTTTTGCAATGGTTTGAGATGGTTTTGCTTTTTTGTGTTGTAGGCTGACCTTCAAATAAGTGCTGTTCAATGATCTACCCATTTGGCCAATATATTCTCTTTAAATGTTCTTCAAATGCTGTACACCACTTTGCATTTCCTCATGAAGTTGTCCACATCCCTGTCGAGTCTTCTAGCTATGTCTAATAGACGATGCTCTACAATATGAACAGACGCTCTGCTGACTATTTGTGCTTTTTAAAGTTACATGTCATTGTTTGGACCGAGCACTTTCAACTATAATAAAACTTGTTATGCTACTTTCCCAATGTTAGCCAAAAAGTATCTTGACTTACCGAAGTATTACTCACCGATTTGTCCCTTGACTTTTCACCAAAATTTTAATATAGCAGGCCTAGTATATTTTAGTATATCTATGTTCGGTTGTTGTACGACTTAGGACAATGTTACTTGTATCACCAGCATATGCTTTTTATCCTTAGGGATACCGTATCCTTAGGGATCCCTTGTAAGGGTGCTTCTTTTTGTCATTCCCTATCGTTATAATTACATTGTCAGAATTGTTTTTGTCGTCGTTCTCGTTAGCCCATAACTCTCGTCTCGACTGGTAAGCTGGAATTTATTTACACACCTCACTTTTTTTTCTTTCGTACCAGATTCTCAATTTCGTTTCTAATAGAATTATTTGTTGTTGTTAGACCAAAATCACTCGTGGCAGGAATGATATCTGAACCGATACAAACGTCCTTCGTTTGTCTGCATCGCGACTCATTATCATCAACTACTCGAGCAGATGAGTGGCCGCGCAATAAAATCAGAGAGCCACTTTGATCCAGACAAGAACTGTGCGCGTATAATCCGATGTGCCTTTATTCATTGCAGGACCAGGACAGGTTTTATGAGCCACTTATGAGCTCATCTCGAAGGCTCTAGTCCATATCCATTATTTCCATGGAAATAAGATGCCGTGAAATAATCTAAGCCTAGTGGCAGATTGTTGGTAGTTCCGTCTGAGAAACGGTTCTTATAGTAACAACGTATTTAGGAGTATTTGTTTGACTTTGAACCTGCTTACTCTCATCGTATGCCTCTCGGGTTGTGATGGTCGTTATTAATCGACAGTTTTGACCGAAAAGGATAGCCTTAGATAGTTTTTCTTTTTAAAAAGCCGTTGAATCTATTCAGTCGCCCTGAGCGATGGTGGACGTCGATAAATACGTTAAATGCACAATTGCAGCTACACATTGGTCGCATTATTTGATGGAACTTAGTTGAACTATGGCGTTAAATCTAGGTAATTTCAGTATCATCCTTACATAATTTTACCCTAGCTTGAGCCTGCAATGAATGTTGCAAAAACCTAAAGATATGTTCTTGTTTTATCTAATTGACGCCGATCTTCGAGGCAACCTTTCAAAGAGAACCTGCCTACCTTGACAGTTCGTTCAGCTACTTTTTAGGTCGGATAGGTGACGTCTCTACCTGTCGGGTAGCCGTATACGTATCATAAATGTCTAGCTATAAAGATATTCACTTTCAAGGTAGAGTCAAAAGTCGCTAGTAATCCAGTTTACTTCATATTTTCAAACAGATTATACTCAAATACGTCAGATTTTGAAGTTCTATAACTCTGTGAGGATTATCCACAGCTGCTTCGACTGGAATTAACCCCGAGGCAGACTTAGAACCTGCGGTTTTTATTAGGTGTGCCTGAACCGGGAAAGCTGCTCGGAACCGCTGTTATAATATTACGTCGAAGCTCAGAAGCTTTATATCGAAGTAGTTTAAATTCCTTACAATACCTCATAAGCATACCAAAAGACATTCTCAATTTGAGTTAATCTAACCGAAATCTTATCGACGCCAATCTTCTTAATTTTTGTTCGCTTGCTAAGCCGGTGTGTTTACTAAACATTCAATTTCCAATTTTAATAATAGATAGACAATTAATTAATGGAAACACAAATAAGAAAGTGAAGGTCCGTTACGACCGACAACTACGGCGGCGAGCGTACAGGATTAAGCCTGCTATACACTATCGTAGCTTAGGAGATTGATTCGAGAACTTCGAGATCACTTCTTCGAAAGTTGTCAAAGCGGATTACCAGGTATTAATAATGAAGCAAATAGGGAATTATCGAAAATTGATTATTATTGTTAATAGCTGTTTGTACGGTTGCTATGAGGCTTCGTGGGCCTATCGGAAAAACCTCAGTCAAGTCCAGCAACACCGACTTCGGTTAGACTCCCAACAAGGGCAAATACTTGATGCCACATGTAAAAAAAAGATGATTCGGAGGACTTGGATTGTTCGTGCGAAAAAAATTGAAAGCGCTACAAAAAAGCCTCGAAAGCTGGTTGGAGTCAAAGTACGCGTTCGCTAATCCTTTGAAAAATGGTAACATTGTCATGG